TCTCCTCTGATAGGGCAGCTGTGACCCAGGAAAGGAAGTGTCAGGAAGGGAGCCCGTGGTCTTCCTACCTGAGGTCTCCAGGCTTGAAATGCTCCACAGCACTTATTCTAACACACTTTCTAATGTATATGCTTATTATGATATAATTTATTGCCTGTCTCCCCCACTAGAATGTAAACTCCATAAGGACAGACATCTAAGCATACATTTTCAGAGATTAGAACAGTGCCTGGCATACTGTAGGCATTCGATAAACTTTGTTAAATGAGTGAATGAATGTTTGTGGTTTCAGGCCATAGCAGATGTGATAAGGAACGGTTCGGATATCCTGGCTTCGGGGTCCCTGGAGCTTGTTGAAGGAATGATTGCACATTCTTTGGTGTCAGGCTAAGGCTGACCTAACAAGATGTGAGAAGAGATGAAAGGGTTAAGCTTTCCTATCTTTGGGGTTCCTTGGGCACTGGGAAATAAGGATAGCCCCAAAACCCAAGGAGAAAACTAAGATTAGAGTTAACAACTCTAAAATCAAGCTGCCCCTATGCTCTAAGAAAGAGAGAGACTGAGATTACATGCATTCCTGGCCAGACATAAAGCTTCCTTGTCTCCATATGTTTGGTTTCCATACGAGTTTCTCATCACAACTTGTATTCCTTCAGTCCCTCAACAAACGTGCATTGAGTCCCCACTACACACCAGAATTTAAAATATCTGATTTTATCACTGTAGGAGACTCCAGCTTTCTGGCTGAGAGCTGGGAATACCAAGCTGAATATGGTAAGACTCTCAAGAAACAAGAGTCTGGTGCGAAAGACACTTGTTTTTTTCTCTAGTTTAGGATAACATTTTTGGTTAAGGTGAAGGGCAGGAAATGACAGGAACCAGCCAGCTCCCAAGATAGTTCGAAGCTTCAAGAAACCAATTATAATTTTTTTTTTTTTTTTTTTTTTTTTTTTTTTTTTTTTTTTTTTTTTTTTTTTTTTTTTTTTTTTTTTTTTTTTTTTTTTTTTTTTTTTTTTTTTTTTTTTTTTTTTTTTTTTGCAGTACACGGGCCTCTCCCCGTTGTGCCCTCTCCCGTTTCGGACCACAGGCTCCGGACGCGCAGGCTCAGCGGCCATGGCTCACGGGCCCAGCCGCTCCGCGGCATGTGGGATCTTCCCGGACCGGGGCACAAACCCGTGTCCCCTGCATCGGCAGGCGGACTCTCAACCACTGCGCCACCAGGGAAGCCCACCAATGATAATTTTTGAGCGAAGAGAATTTAAAGCAAGAATCCTTTGAGGATGGCTCACTGCTTCCCCCTGGTGGAGATCAGTAGCAAGCATGTCAGGCGGCTTTCCCACAAAACTTTTCATTCAACAAAGTGCAGAAGCTTCGAGGCAGGAGTTGGGCCTGAGAATAAACAGGGATTCACCAGGAGGACAAAGGGGAAGGGAATTCTAGGCAGAGGGGTGAGTACCAAGAGGCAAAATCCATGTCTGACCTAGGAAACCCTAAATAACTAATAGATTAATTGGATATTTAGGGCTTGCGGGGGAAATGTGAACAGTGGGCTTCCAAATGGGAGCCAGATCCTGAGGTGCTTTGCAATCCATAAGAAAGACTGTTCATTAAGGCACTGGGGAGTTTTCCTGGGCTACATGAGCGGGAAGGTGCATTGACTCAGAGATATTTATTGAGTCCCTCCTATGGGCTAGATTTGTAGCTGGGAATAAAATGGCGTATAAAAACAGGTATGATCCCTGCCCTCTTGCAGCTTTAAGGCTACTAAGGAAGAGAGGTATCCATTAAAAAAAAAAAAAACAAAAAACTCCTTAAAAATGTTTAAATTAAACTTAAAATGTGAAGAGTGGCACCATAACATTGAGGAAAGACAGAAGTAGAGTACGATGTTAAGGAGACTCAGAGCTGAGTGGATAGTGCTTTACTGAGCTGAGGTTCTCTCCAGGCTGACCCTGGCGCTGGAGGAATCTGGGCATGAGCACAGCCCTTGGTCACTGCTTTCAAGGTCCCAGTGGCTCAAAGAGTGGCATCAGAGGTAGGACATCATCAAAGGAAACTCAGCTGCCTAGGAAGGGTTGGTGGTGGCGGGAGGATTGATTAATTATATCAGTGTTTTTTTCAAACTGTGGCTCACAGTCCAAAAGTGGGGTGTGAAATCAAAGTGGTGGGTCATCACCAGCATTTGGAAAATGATATGGAATAAAATAGAAAAAAGTGTATAAAATATCATGTATAGTAAGAATGAGTATTGTTTCATGAAACTCCTTTTAGTTCTGTATGTGAATGTGTACATGCATGTGTATTTGTGTATGTGTGTGTGTGTACAGGGTTGCAATATAAATCATATTCGTTACTGTGTATCTTGATTTTAAAAAAATTGAAAAATACCTGATTAGAGGCCCTCTCAAGGTCTCACCGAGCCTAGGATGTTACAAAGGATGATGGCCCAGCCCATGGAGAGGTGACATAAACCCCTCTCTCAGGAAGAACTGGGGGCCAGCTCATTTATAAGAACTTTTCCAAACTCAGTAGCGCAACTCTGAAGAGAAGATATTAACTCTGAAAAGCAATTAAGAACCTAACCTCACAGATGGACCTAGAGTCTGTCATACAGAGTGAAGTGAGCCAGAAAGAGAGAAACAAATACCGTATGCTAACACATATATATGGAATCTAAAAAAAAAAAATGGTTGTAAAGAACCTGGGGCAGGACAGGAATAAAGGACACAGACATAGAGAATGGACTTGAGGACACAGGGAGGGGGAAGGGTAAGCTGGGATGAAGTGAGAGAGTGTCATGGACATATATACACTACCAAATGTAAAACGGATAGCTAGTGGGAAGCAGCCGCATAGCAGAGGGAGATCAGCTCGGTGCTTTGTGACCACCTAGAGGGGTGGGATAGGGAGGGTGGGAGGGAGACGCAAGAGGGAGGGGATATGGGGATATATGTATACGTATAGCTGATTCACTTTGTTATACAGCAGAAACTAATACAGCATTGTAAAGCAATCATACTCCAATAAAGATGTTTAAAAAAACAAATAAACAAACAAATAAAAAAAAGAACCTAACCTCAAATGCTCACTCTCATGCATTGTGGGGGGCGGTGGGAGGGAGAGGCATAAATTGGTACGAATTTTTGGAAAGCCATATGGCGACATTCACCAGAAGTCTTAAAATATGTAAACACTTTGCTGCAGGAACTCCACTCCTATGAATTCACACTACAGGGATCGCCAAGGATGTACCCAAAGTTAACACTCAAAGTTGTTCACTGCAGCAATGCTTATAACAGGAAAAAAAACGGATACAACCTATATTTCTAGAAATAGGAGGCCGGTGGAATAAAGGGTGGCAGATTTCAGGCATTAAAAATGAGCAGGAAATACATTTATTGACAAAGGAAGATGTTTATGATATAACATTGTAATTCAGTGCAATTTTTTAAAGGCGAGAAAATTACCAGCTGCTTCTCACAGTAGGTAGAGAGAAAAAGTCCCCTTGAAGCAGGTTTTGTCTGCACTGAGTGATTGAGAGGCCTTTTTAAACTATGTGAATATTAGGTGAGTCAATAGCATTGTACTAGAGTGAAGAATAACATGACATTTATAGCTAGTCAACCAGGGGTAATTCTGCACCCTCCCTGGAACATTTAGAAACATCTGGAGACATTTCTGTTTGTCATGACAGGGATGGGGCAGGGGTGCTACTGGTATCTAGCGTTACCTCTACTGGTGGAGGCCAGGAATGCTACCAAACACCCTTCAATGACAGAAGAGCCCCCAATTCAGGGCTATTTGATGATGATCGTAGCCATCATTAGAGTCTGCTAGCAAGAAAGAATCCAAAAGGGCATGCATGGGGGAGCTGGGCCAATGACCTGTTTCAAACATGCTCTTTTTTGTCCACTTCTGTATGCCCAGCCCTGCTGGCACACATAATCACTCCACAAATACTCGTTGAATGTTGCATGTTGAATCCAGCTAGGGCACCTATAGGTGAACAGCCACCTGACTGTTTATCAGTGCCCGACTAGTGCTCAACAGTGACTCCTTGTGGTGGGAACTGAAACAACCATGCAGGTGGACCAGTAAGCTTTTCTTTGGCTGTTTGCAGAGCTGATCGATTAGGACTGAAAAGGCCCCAGAGACAGTGGAAAAATCATGAGGCTAGAAGAAAGCAGGAAGCCTCAATCAGAATGATGTTTGGTGTCCTGCTAATCAGGGCAAACAGGTATTTGAGAAATTAATGAAAAATAGCAAAGAAAGATTACAATGTTGGGCCTCAAACTGATAAAAACAAACCAGAGGTTATTTTGTTAGGTGAAAAAAGCAGGTTTCAAAATAATATGTATGGATAATCCTAGCTTCATGGTTTTATCGTTTATTGTTTAGAGAAACTATACACATACCCATTTGTCAGGAAGAATTATACCAAAAATTATACCAAAATGATAACAGTAGAGGGTGGGGACTTGGGGGTTTTTTTAAATCTATTTTCTAATTTATTTTACAATGAATGTATATTATTTATGGAAAAAGAAAAGTAAGAAGTTAGATGCTGAGCCAAAATACAAAGGCACTTCCCAGTGTATAAGGTAAAAAGACCCTAGGGACTTCCCTGGTGGTGCAGCGGTTGGGAGTCCACCTGACAATGCAGGGGACACAAGGCCCTGGTCCGGGAGGATCCCACGTGCTGCGGAGCAAAAAAAAAAAGACCCTAGTCCTTCACTCACGCCCAATATTTCCATATCTGGACCCTAATTATCCAGAACCCCAGGTCCTACAACCTCAGAAGGTCTCCCTTGGGCAAGAGTAGCTGCCCTGACCACTTCTTCTGGCTCCAAATTCCAGGCCCCTCTTTCCTCTGCTCATGAGCGGTACACACCATCCAGAGCTGGCTCTGCCTCATCCTGGCCCGCAGGTGCGGGCACAGGAACCCGGAAGAATGGCGGCACACGTCGGGGACGCGTTTCCATCCCCCTGCGGTTGCTCACCTGACATGTGGACGTTCCGTAGGCAGGAGAGGGAGGCATTGAGGCGGGCACACTCCTCCCGGTTGGCCCCGTATTTCTCCACGGTCTCACACACCTGCTCGTCCGTCATCTCCAAGAGGTCCTCCAGACTCAGCTGGCCCGGGGTGATCTCCTAGCGGAGGGAAGAGAGAAGGAGGGTAAACAGACCGGAAGCACCCCGAGGGGAGGCCTCCATGTCGCCCTCTAGTGGTACCTAGAGGAACGCCAGGCTCTCGGTGGATGTCGGCTTGGCATAATGGTTGGGTCTCCTCACTCCGGTCAGACAGGCCTGCGTTTGAATCTCAGCTTTGCCACTCATTAGCTAGATGATCCCGGGCAAATCACTTAACCTCTCTGAGCCTCACTTTACTCACCTGAAAAGTGGGAATCTTAAGCTCATGTGCTCTGTAAGGTAGCAGGTATGCTTAGCACATAGTCAGAGCTCTGTAAATGGTGGCAGTTAATTACCTGTCTCCCCATGCAGTTTTGAACTCCTTATAGGCAGGGCTCCAATTTACTCATCTTGGAAGGCCTTCCATGCCTCCTGCCCAGCTTGGACTGCAATGATGTGTCCCAAATCCAGGGTGAACTAATAAGAGCAGAGAAAACTGGACAGCCCAAGTCTCCTGATGGCTGATCTCCTTTCCCTTTTCTTCTCTCTTTCCCAGCCACACATTCTAGGGCTCAGATTGGGGGTTCAGGAACCCTAAGGGGAAAGGGGGGCTGGAACCCTGTGGGTGGTTCAGTGCTGTCAATCAAACAGGATTTGTGTCTGAGCCTGATGGGGCAAGACTTTGCAACCCAAGACAAAGTGGAGTATAGCATGGAGTGGGGAAAGGGACACCGCTGAAGAGATGGGCTGGAGGAAAGGTAGGATTGCCGGCTATAACTGTGTTGGTCAGCTGTCCCTTCACCACCGCCAGCAACCATCCCTCCCTTCCCCGAAGCAGTGTGTCCCTATACACCACAATATGGACACACCTGGAAATTGGTCAAACTTCTATATTTACGCATCTACAAAAAAATACCCTTCACATTATAGCACTTATTGGTAACCAACATTTTACATTTATTATTATTATTACTATTATTAAAATAAGAGTTTTAGATAGCAAAGAATGGCGGTTCTAAGGCAATATTACGGAGTACTTCCGCCCTCTTGTGGCCATATCTGTGTATTACAAACAAGTGAGAAACCATCCTGCCCCACCCCGCCCCCGCCTTAATCTGGCAGTCAGAAAGACGAAAACTGCATCGACACAAAAATTCTATGGGAAAAAAAAAAAAACTGCCGGTCAAAAGCTGAAACCCAATCAGTGCCTCTCCAACTCACTAGGTCATGGGCAGAGAAAGAACAATAATGAGTCACATAGCAGCTTTCTCAAATAGGGACTGTTACAGGGAAGTCCACATTAAGAAAGGTGATGCACCAGGATTTGAAAGTATGAAATGAATTACATTTAGAAGGGATGATTCACAACATAAAAGAATTCTCCTCTTTGCTGCAAGATCCACTTGTGCATTTTAATCCTATAATTTACCCTCCAAAATACTCAATTTACACTGAAGTTGACGGTTCACACACACACACAAATCACAGAAGGAAGAATGACAGAAAAAAATGGAGAAGGCTTTAACTAGCTTGGGCCAAAAGAGGAGAGGCACTTCTGTTCGATTTATTCATAATAATAATAATTGAAATAGAACACTGTTTTGCTTTTCATGGATTTTCTCTAAAGGTCACAGAGACCACATAAAGCAGGTACTTTTACCATCATCATCAGTCTGTAACTAGGACATTGGCATTCAGAGAAGTTAGACCATCGTCACCCAGGGTCACACTGTGAGTAAGTGTGAACCCAGGCAGTCTCACTTAGGAGCTTTCTCCATACTGCTGGTTCTTCCACATAAGGGGGCCGTCTGGGGGACACACGCGTGAGCTGCAGACAGAGAGCTGGAAACCCAGCTCCGTCCACACCGCCTGGTTGGTGGCCTTGGACTCGATTCTCATAGACTAAGATAAGAGCCAGAGCCCAGGCACCTGCAGGCCAGGTAAATGTAAATGAGCAAAGCTGAGAACTAGCCTGCGGGATCCTAAGGGGCAGCAGGATTCGGTTCACTGACACCAGACAGGAATTCAGTTCTGTGAGGTCAGCAATTCCGATTTTTCGAGAGAAGCCGCAGATCTGAGTTTTTTATGCAGACTCTTCCGACTTTTAAATACTGGCTCAAAAATAATTTTGAAGACAAACAAAAAATATCTGTGCCTCAGATACAAGATACAGCAGAGGGCCACTAGTTTTCAACCCCTGAAGGTTTGTCTCGGTCTTATTCGCCTCAATTGATAAATAAATGGTCCCGAAAGCCTCTGAAACGTGTATGGAGCCATGCACATAAAATGTACTGTCTGTACTTTTATGGGACCTTTCATTTTAAGGATATTCACACGAAACCGCCATCCTGGGAATGATATTAAGAAACAGAGACTCCTACACCATCTGGTGTGTATGCGCAAGATGCGGGCGGGGGGAGAGGGGAATGTGAGGGTTCTGTATCCCCAGCTCAGGACTGTTATATGTAGCAGCCTCAGGCAATATCACATTGGGAACAAGGTATAAAAAAGACAAAAGGATCTTCCAGGCCTCTTCGAGCAGGAAGCAGGGGTTGCCTTGAGAAATGGCACTTGGTCCTGCAGGTGAGGGGGGCGCCCAGAACACCCTCTCCCCAGCTCAGGGAGGCCCCCCAACAGGAAAACAAGGAGAAAGCACCGTGCTTCCCACTTCACACTCTGGAGTCCATCTGAGCTGGGTTTCCCTGCTAGCCCCGCCCACTCACGAGCAGGGTAACTCCCTCCATCTTCTAGCCTCGGCTTCCTGCTCTGTACAATGGGGTAAAAGTCATACCTACCTCAAAAGGTCGTTGTGAGGGTCTGAACAGTCTCAAGAGTTGAGATCCTGCATGTAAAACCCTCAATACTATGCCTGGCACTGAAGATTCAATGAATGAGAGCTGATTTTATTAGGAAAGTTTCCACCCAGTCACTGAAAACAGGGGGGACCCAAGATCCCAGAGGGTAAGGAAATCTCACCATCCTTGAAACCTTAAGGATGTGATCCACTCCTGGAGCGTGGACACAAGACAACAGGTGTTCTGGTTTTGTCACTAGAAAACCTATTACTTCCAAAGTTTTCAGTAACAGCAACAACAATAATAAGTTGACATTTCCTGGGTACTATTAGGTTCCAGACTATGGGCTGAACATTTTACACAGATCATCTCATTTTATCATGCCAACTACTTAAGAAGAGGAGACAACCATTACCCCATTGAACAGATGAGAAAACAATGTCCTAAGATATGCTGCCCAGTATGGTGGCCACTGGCCACATTAATGAACATTAAATACAATTAAAAATTGAGTTCCTCAGTCACATGCTCTAACCACAATTCAAGTGCTCAGTAGCTACATGTGGCTGGTGGCTACCGCATCAGGCAGCACAGATATGAAATATTTCCACCATAGTAGAACATTCTGCTGGACAGCACTTATCTAAGAGGTAAAGTGATTTGGCCCAGGAGACTGAGTCCTTAAGTGGCAGAGCTGAAAGAGGGTCTATCTGACTCTAGATCCACACTCTTTTTTTTTTTTTTATTGGCCACACCTCACAGCATGTGGGATCTTAGTTCCCCAACCAGGGATCGAACCTAAGCCTGGATTCTTAACCACTGGACCGCCAGGGAAGCCCCTAGAACCACACTCGTAATGACCCCATTCAGACAGCATCAGCGATGCTCCGTGCCTGCATCCAACACGTATTTAAGTCCTACTATGAGCCAGACACAGCCAAAAACCCACTGCCTGCGGGCGCTGGCTGCCGGCCAGTAAGGGGCCGAGGGCAGGGGCCGCCTCCAGTCACCTCCAGGACTTCCTTCCGCACGTCGACGACCCGGAACCAGTGCCGGAGCTGGGGGAAGCCGTCCAGCTCGGCATTGCGCTCCTGCAGGGCTACCTTCTTTTTGCAGGACAGCTGCCGGCTGAAGTATTTCACCAGCTTGCTCTGCGGAGACACAGAGAACAGAGGACACGTCTCAGAGGCACTGCCGCAAGGAGGAGAGGCAAGCATCTCCCCAATGTCCCCGCCGCACCCCCCAACTCCGCGTTTTAAAGACCGCTTCAACTGCAGTGAGACCCAGTTTCCACTCATGTCCCAACTGTGTTGGTGAAGATGGGCACGCAGGCAGGTTCCAGGATTCTGGTGGGGAGGACGGCGTGCGTTGTACCCGTGTAGTGGGGGCGGGGTTTGGACTGTATCCATCCACATCTCCACTGCACCAATCCTTTGACCTTCACAGTTGCACTTGTAGGAACTCCTCCCACAGACACCCCATCCTGTGCCAAATGACTGTGGAGAAAGATATTTCCTGCAGTTCTGTTTGCAATGGCAAAAGACTGCAAACACCCTGAGGAGCCATCGGTAGGAGACTCATCATACATGAGGACACACACACACAGCGGAACTCTATGCAGCTGTAAAACAAAAAGGGGAAGTGTGCTGTGTACTAAGACAAGATATGCTGATAAATAAAAATAAATACTCTCTTATTCATGTGGGAAATGTTTACATTTGTGTATCTTTGTAAATGCAGACGCTCTCTGGAAAGATCCCTAATCTTCTAGGGAAGGAAAGAGGGAGGGAGGGGGACAGAGGTGAGAGGAACATTTTGTTTAACCCCTTTTTTACTATTTCAATCTTAAGTCACATGCAAGTATTCATAAATTAACAAATACTTTTAAAGTGAGGTGGACCCCGGGACTTCCCTGGAGGTCCAGTGGTTAAGACTCCATGCTTCCACCGCAGGGGGCACAGGTTCGATCCCTCATCCAGGAACTAAGATCCGCATGCCGCATGGTGTGGGCAAAAAATAAATTTAAAAAATAAAATAAAATGAGATGGACCTGAACCCATGCTTCCAGAGGGATGCCATGCCATGAAAAAGGAAAGGTTTTTTTTTTATTGCCTATCATGTAAAAACTAACAACATTAACAAAAGAAAGGCAATAGGTGTGCATGGGCAGAGAAAAAAGTGTGCAAGACACACCCCAGCCTGCTAAGTTGGGATGGGGAAGCTCTATAGACGGGGTGAGGAAAAAACGGTTGTGTTTCTTTATATATTTTTGCTTTGTTTCAATAGTTACTCAACGCATGTTATCATTTTTGTGATTTAAAAGCTATTTAATAAAGATAACTCAATGAAACAAAAATAAAAATCCTTAGTTATACAAATGCCTTTGACATTTTAAAGCACCTGTCAGCCAATATTTATCAAGAAGGCGGTCCCGGAATTCTAGGATCACATCATTTGGAGCAGGGCATGACAGCAGTGGGCACCTGTTTCTGTCTAGCTGGTCTCCATACAAAGACTATTTCAGCTTTCTTCTGGGGAACCTCCTTCTTCGGCTCCCAGTTCATATGGCTGAGGTGAGGCTGGCTTCACCCACCCACCCCACCGCCACCAGGCTGCAGGGTGGGCATGTGACCCAGGCCTGGCTGCAGCCTTTGGAGCAGCCAGGCTGGGCCGCCGAGAAATCTCCCCATCAACCCTTCCCAAGCACTCAGAGGACAGCTCCCACTTCCCACTGGAATTGTCAGGAGGGCGCCGGCGAAGCCAGGAGCTGCCGGAGCATCCCTGTTGCCGTCTAGGAGAGCTCACCTGACACTGAAGCCCACTGGAAGAAATCAGAAAACCGGTGTTTAAGTTAACGTTAATTTTATTCACCTTACTAGTAAAGAGAAAGTTGCCATTCTTTTTTTTTTTTTTTAAAGGAGAATTTTTTAATTAGTTTATATTTTTGGCCGTGCCGCGCAGCATGTGGGATCTTAGTTCCTCAGCCAGGGATCGAACCCGTGCCCCCTGCAGTGGAAGCATGGAGTCTTAACCACTGGACAGCCAGGGAAGTCCCAAAGTTGCCATTCTTGATCAGCCCACATTCTATTGCAATAACGGCACAAAAATCACCTTATGCTAATGTACCTAGAATGCTTTTCATTTAGAATCTCAATTTCGAGTGTTAGAATAGAAAATGTCAAAAAGAATATTTTTTTCTCTAGCTTATTTCTGAATGAATAGGGTCTGACCTACTGAGACTTCAAAGCTGGGCTCTCAACTAAGACATCTATAGATCTCTCATGTCTGTCTGTTGTTTTATTTTACGACTTGTTTTAACTATTCTCTTTATGCAGGTATGGAAAACCACACAAAAGAAATAAGTACACTTTGACACGTTCCCCATCATTCTTTGAGCACTTCCTTACTCTCTGACACAACAAAAATTTCTAGGGTCATCTTATTCTTTTCCTGCCCCAGCCCTGGAATCCATCATTTCTCCAAGGAGTGAGTGTTGGTTCCTCTGAGCGGAATATGGTATTCAGAAGCCAAGATCTGGGTACTTGGTGAGATTATTGATACTGAGGTGTCATCATTTCCAGTCCCCTTAGTAGACAGCCTAGGCAACATATGTATGTGCAATGCATATGTGAATACGTAGATACATAAATCTGCACCTATATTTATTTTGTTATTTATATGTATTGATAACTGATACCTGTAATCCCAATCCAACACCATAGGGTTTATTCTAGCATTTTCCCTCCCCACATTTGTATCACTCTTCTCAGGCAGTGAGAAAAACAATCCTCAATATATTTACTTATTGGCTCCGTCTGGTGAATTTAGCGAATTCCCTAACTCCACCAGGCCACTGCCCTGCCAGGGTGCTGCCCTCATGAACCCTGACCCCTGCTGGGCTGCCCTCTCACCCTAGTTCTGCTGCCTGCCTTGTTTTTGTTTTTGTTTTTGTTTTTTGCGCTACGCGGGCCTCTCACTGCTGCGGCCTCTCCCGTTGCAGAGCACAGGCTCCGGACGCGCAGGCCCAGCGGCCATGGCTCACGGGCCCAGCCGCTCCGCGTCATGTGGGATCTTCCCGGACCGGGGCACGAACCCGTGTCCCCTGCGGACTCTCAACCACTGCGCCACCACGGAAGCCCTTGTTTTTGTTTTTTTTTAAATTGAAGTGTAGTTGATTTACAGCGTTGTGTTAGTTTCTGGGGAATAGAAAAGTGATTCAGATATAGATATAGATAGATATAGATATGTATATATCTAGCTATATATATTCTTTTTCATATTCTTTTCCATTATGGTTTATCACAGGATATCGAATATAGTTCCCTGTGCTCTACAGTAGGACCTTGCTGTTTATCCATCCTATATACAATAGTTTGCAACTGCTAGTCCCAAACTCCCAATCCATCCCTCCCCTACCCCGCCTTGGCAACCATAAGTCTGTTCTCTATGTCTGTGAGTCTGTTTCTGTTTTGTAGATAAGTTCATTTGTGTCATATTTTAGATTTCACATATAAGTGATATCATATGGTATTTGTCTTTCTCTTTCTGACTTACTTCGCTTAGCATGATAATCTCTAGTTGCGTACATGTAGCTTCACCTGACATTATTTCATTCTTTTTTATGGCTGAGTAGTAGTCCATTGTATATACGTACCACATCTTCTTTACCCATTCATCTGTCAATGGACATTTAAGTTGTTTCCGTATCTTCGCTATTGTAAACTCTGCTGCTTATGAACACTGGGGTGCATGTATCTTTTCAAATTACGGTTTTCTCTAGATACGTGCCTAGGAGTGGGATTGCTGGATCCTACGGCATGCCTTGTTGTTGTTGCCGTTGCTTCAGATGTTGATGTTAGCCGATGGATTCTCAAATCCGATATCCAGGCACCACCCCCAACTCTGCTCTGGTTTCACACGTTGAGAAGCAGACATGAGTGAAACTGACTTAATCTTGGTGTCAGATGTCCAAAATGGTCATTTCACCAGCTACATGTGGCTAACTGAACACTTAGGGTATTGCTATAGGGTGATTAAGGAATGGAATTTAAAATTTTATTTAATTTAAATTTGAAAATGGAAGCCACGTACAGTATTTTTCTGTTAAACATAAACTTATCGTTTTGACAGAGCTACATTTTACTTTAACTTTGACATTTTAGGGTCTGAATTGAGATGTGCTGTAAGTGTAAAATTCACATTGGATTTCAAAGACTTGATAGGAAAAAAATAACATAAAATATCTCATTAATATTTTTACATGGATTACATGTTTCAGTGATAATCTTTTGGATACATTGGGTTAGATAAAATATATTACTAAAATGAATTTCAGTTGTTTCTTTATTAATGTGGCTACTAGAAAATTTTAAATTATACATTTGGTTCACATCTGTCACCCTCATTATATTTCTAAGCTCTAGGGCTTTATCCTAAAGAAATAAGTAAGGATATTCATGAAGTCTTGCCCCAGGTGGATAATAGCCATGAAAGACTGGAAACAATCCAACTCTTCAGTGATAAGAGCTGATGTAAATAAATTACAATGTATTCATATAGTAGCATACCATTTAAAGATGTACAAAATATGTATAATATTTGTAGTGTATAAATAATGTATTAAAAGTTTTATAAAACTATATGAGTATAGATGCAAAAAGCCTTGGGAGGGTATATAACAAAATTAAGATTACGGGTGACCTATTTTTTTCCTGTTTGCACATCTGTAGCAATCTTAGAAAATACGATGTATATGCATTAGCTGCTTATCAGTGGAAAAAAATGTTTGGATAGGGTTGGCAATATTTTTTAACGCTGATGCTACCCAATGTCAGTGAGAATGTGAGAAACCATTGAGAACACCACCAGAGAGCAATTTGATTTGGAAGTGTGAACTTTTCTTTTCAATCGAAGTATAGTTGACTTACAATGTCGTGTTAATTTCTGCTGTGCAGCAAAGTGATTCAGCTGTACGTATATATATATACATTCTTGTAAAAATTCTTTTCCATTATGGTTCACCTCAGGATACTGAATATAGTTCCCTGTGCTGTACAGTAGGACCTTGTTGTTATCCTTTCTACCTATAATGGTTTGCATCTGCTAACCCCAAACTCCCAATCCATCCCCAACTCCCTCCGCCCTGGCAACC